TTCTTCCGTTTAGTCCTGAGACGACACATGTTCCATTCGAACATTAAGGCGACTGCCGTAGTTAGTGGCACATTAAGCTAATCATCTAATAAATCGCCCAAAGTGTGCTCAACTCCGTGAGCTTATGAGCCACAGGGGAGGAAAGTCCGGACCCCCAAAGGGCTGGAAAGTCAAAGACGCGACTAGCTAACTGTCTCGGGGATTGTGTATTTCTTTGGGATATCCATGGCATCCTGAAACAGAAGATCAGTAGTTAATAAAATAAATTGACATTAAGAAAATTTTAAAAGAACCAGATTAAATACTATGGTGAAGTAAAAGTAGAGGCCTTTGATTGCGCGCTTACCTTTGCTTATTGGACGAACAGGTTTATTTTAAATCCCAGGCATACATCAAGTTTTTTAATTCATAATTTCAGGATGATTGTGATCCTAACAATCTAAGAATCACAAATATGGCAACAGAAAAAAAAACGTAATAACATTTGGTATTTCGTGTTGTTTCTAGTGGGTGTTTGAGCGGCCTCAAACCATCCATATTCCTTCCTGGTTAAGTAAGAACCAGGACGATTCCAATATTAACGTCTAAATGTGAACAACACGTCACGTTCATGGTGGAGAATCGTTGAGCATGCTCGACTGTTTACTTATTTAACAAGTTTGAAACATTTCCCGCTATGTCTGGATTATTAATTTACCAGGCAGTGGGAAAGTTCTGGTTCTAAACCTGTTGTTGAAACGGGTCAGCGAGGATAATCTTAGTGGGGGCATAATACAGAAATTTGCCTAATAAGGACGAATATTAGCTGAATGCTTTACGTGACCGCACCCGGATTTACTTCGTGGTTAAATGTTTGATGGCGGAGGAACAGGAAATTATATTTAAAAAATGAGACCAAGGACACAGAAAGTTGTACGACTGCAATAACATTTCCTAATTGTGTTTACTGATCAGAGACTTACTGATAAATAATTTAAAACGCGTTAGAACGACGGTGTCGATACAAGACAGTTTAACCAGGCGGAACTCAGCTATGTGGTGAATGCTTGTTAGTTGTTTGTTTGCCCTCCAAACTTTACTGCTTGTTGAGTTTGTTGTTTTACACAAACACTCGCAATGTTTTGCACAAATTACAAAACATTTAGGTGTCAAAAAACAACCAAATGCCCCAGAAAGGGGAATTAAAAGTACCGGAAATTCAAACAAAGTCTAACGTATTCTTCTGGCGACCAAATAGCGCTAATTTATTTGCCTCAAAGTCCCCCAAATATCAGAACAGTAAAAGAAAACACCGAAATTACATATTTACCTTCACATTTCGGACCAAGTTGACATGAAACGTCAAATTTGCACTAAATGTCAGGTTCCGCTCATTGCGGAAAATCGAGTTATCGGCACTTAAATCCTAGTAGCGACCGGAAAAACCGCACGAAAATGGAAAGGAATATTTTCTATTAATGATAAACACAACCATTCGGCGGAAAACTCGAAAAAACCGGCAATTTGTGAATAAAAATACAGAGCAAATTGCACTCAGTGTCTGACGTTTACCTTCAAACTAGTGACTGAATGGCAGAAAAACTGTCAAGCGTTTTGGGGTCAAAGTGGTAAAATATACAGTGTTGCTAAAACTGATGTGCAAATACTTCAAGGGCGTGTTAAAAATCTAAGTCAAAAACGAAAAGATTTTCAGCAAAAAAATACAAAGTCGTTACTTTAATGACCTAATTTTGCAAATTTGAATTTTTTGCTTAAGTTTTGGGAAAAAAAATTTTTGCGGTTTAAGTTTTTTACTCTGCGAGTTTTAAATAAAAATTACTTCAAAAAATTAATTTTCTTACTGCCATCATCGTTCTAAGTTGGGAATACGCTCAATTTATAGATAGTCTCCTAACTAACTTTTCTTAGGGGCTGTGAAAAATGCGTTTTTCCACTAGTTTCCACTAATTTAAAGTAACTACTTCTCCTTAAGGAAGCACATGATCATGTTCATGATGTCTTCATTCAGTAAATAATTATACATTTATCAGTTGATTGCCATTGGAAAAAAATATAAAACCAATGCGTTAAGGGCCTATGGAAACTATCAGGGAAGCTCGATAAGTTACAGCCAAAACAGGGAATTAAGCATTATACGTCGTAATAATCCAGAAAATTCCTTGACATTACCGACGTAATATCATTGTCGGGACTCCTAATCCCAGAAATATTTGCTAATAAAAGGGGGATTGAAAGTCTAATTTTGCCGGTTATGTCGTCGTCCTTATCTCCTACTGGATAGACAATGGTCGGATAAAATGGCTCGAGTTTCAATTTAGGTTGCTAATTAAAACTTAAGCCTAAAAGTTGCGACCGGCTTAACGTCTACAGCTGCCAGATTGGCTGCTCTTTATGCACAGATTTTAAACTTTTCAATGTGTCGCGCTTTACATCCATTTTTCTTTCACTTTTGTGCCCATCATGCTTCCAAGCCAAATTTTATACCTGATCAACATAGTTCGATTGATTAGCTTTTGAAGTGATTTGTTTGCCGATAACATGTTTTGGAACATTATGTAAACACCACTAAAACAACCACTAGTTTGTCATTGCTTATAAATAAATCTACACTTTGTTTTCAAGGGTTTGAACACGCGTAATCGGAGATAATGATTAGAAACAATCCAGGATTTCTATAATAATAGCAAAAGCAACCGCTTGAGTACTAGTTTGTTTTTCTCTATCGCGAATAATGGAGAATAAGACTTGGGGTCTCTCGCTGCTGCTGCTGTGCAGCGTTTTTTATTCAGCTGTAAGTGTCGCTTTAATATTGCCATTCTTTAATTTGATTCATTCTTAACTAAATTCTGAAAATGAAGCTCAAAATATAACAGTATCTCCCAGTAAAGACTGTTTTTTTTCTGGTTGAAGACACTTTTTCGTTATTTGCAGAGGTTCCATAATGCATAAATCACTTTATAAGCGCCCCATCGGTTCTTTAAAACTCCTCAAACTTCTTTTCAAGGCACCAATTTCTAGCTAACTTTTGCAGATCGCTGATGACTTGACTGTCCAAGTAAAAAATGGGCAAATCAAGGGTAGAGTCCAGACAATGCTTGACGGAAGCACATACTATGCTTGGCAAGGAATACCTTATGGTGCGCCTCCTGTTGGAAACCTGCGGTTTCAGGTAAAAGCTTAGGCAAATAATTCAGGTACTTAATGTGTTTTCCAGTGCTTTATCGCCCATCTGAATAGATTAATATGTAACGTGAAGTATCAATTGTATTTTCTGAGAGAAAATCACATAGCCCGAAGCCTAAAGCATTAGTAAACATGCTTAATCTTTGGACCCCTAGCTGGATTTTCAAAAGTCTCAAAAGTAATATTAGGGAAAACATTCCAACACAATTTACAAGAGAATGTAAATA